AATACATAAAGAGATCACTGAGAGTATTTGATTGGGTGCAAATTCAGGTTTCAATCAGAGCATTGTCCCGGTTGAAGGTTAGGTGTCAATACAGGCTACAAGGTAGGCTTCCATTAACGCCATAAAAATCATATTTTTAACTTAAATTGAACAAACGACTCAGTAGTCGTTTTGGTCCAGTTTGCTACTGAGCAACAAAGTGTGCTGTACACAGATCTACGAATAGCCCCTTTACACATAAGATCAACTGGCCAGTTGTAAGTAAATACCATACTTTGGGAAGCCTAATAGCCTAAAACAGATTGAATAAATTAAACCTAGGTTCCCGAGGCTCTGCTGTCAATATTTCAGGAAAGAAAGTCAAAAAGACCACAATCAATACTCTCTCACATTAAATTGAAGTGTAATTAGTAGAAACTATAATATTATTAATTATAGCTGAAACTTGAATATTATTAATTTTAGCAGAAACTTGAATATTAATATTGATTATTTGTAATATTTGTATTATTTATAGTGATAATACACAAAGCTTATTCTTTCATCAATTTTATTAATTCTCCTGTGTTAATCTTTTCAAGGTAATCGGCTTAACCGAACAATTGCAATAAAGTACAATATCATTAAGTAGTCAATTGACACATAATTTATTATATATTGGTTCATCAATATTTCGCATAATCGTTTCAATATTTCAGAGTCAAAACCAATGTTTTAACAAAGTTTCGACAAAGAGTGTAATTTTGCATTCAGAGTATTTGATATACTTTTTGTTGCATCTTAAGAAGTGTTACGTTTAAGATTATTGAAAGCACTTTCAGGAGGACATATCAGACCTCTCAACGGTCCATAAATCGGACTTCTGGGATACACAATTATCAGGGCTCAATACAACATCTTACTTCCACTGCCGGCTCTGTGATTGGTCCTCAGTTGTCTGATCAACTAAATTAAATTCATTGAAACCCCACCAGGGGGCAACTTTTTGTTGTACTCACACCTATATGGAATAGCCAAATTGCATTACATAAAGGTGTGAGGCGATTTTAGTGATGGAATGATCAATTAATGTAAAGAGTATATTTTGAAGTAATAAGTAAGTAAAGAAGGTTTATTTTTTTTCTTTACAGACTCGAGTCAACTCGACTCGCCAACTCAACTCGTCACATCACTAGCACAGACATCATCTTCATTCATACTTGGCTTAAAAATAAAATATCTACATTCGTATGGTCGCCATTTGATAAGAAAGCTCAAAGTGTTGTGTTGAGTCTACCACTCTTGCTTACTTTTTGTCAACATAAAGGAGGCTTCATAACTAACTTGGTTAAATCAACAAGTAACAAATAGTACAGTAAATAATGAAAACCCCACTAAATAAGTCAACAACTTTATCTTCAGCCGATCTATAAGGATAATAAAGACAATGGATTATAAAATATTTAATTCGTACCGGTATGTTAAATATTTTTTTATATGATCAAATTGGGTACAGTTTCTTAACTGCGCTATGCTAATATTGATTGGAACTATCGAATTGAAAATATTGATTAATAATCGATATTTTAAAATATATTATATTATAAAATTAAACTATCATTACCTAATCTAACCAACCAAACTTGCTGATGGTGAAAAAATCGCATGAAAGTTTACTTATCGAATCGATTTCAACCGATATTAGCATCCAGTTAAGAAAAGAAACTGTACGCATGATTTTACACTATGATGTGAAGTCAACAACAATACAGAAATCGTTGATTATTTATAGTTAGTTGTTGGCACGGCCGCCTTTAACTACAGGCCGCGGCCATCGAACTGGCAACGTCGCAAGTGGTGCTGTGTCACGTGACTGTGTTGTTTACATTTTGTTTGGATTGGAAGCAGCCGACGCCGACATCCGACACGCACTTTTAATCAGTTGTTTTAATACACTTTGCACTTGCAGAATGCAGAGTGCAGACCAGACAAGTAAGTTAAGTACTGTTGTGTAATGTGTAATCAAGTAGTCTGTTGTTCCACTTGTACAGTAGACACAAAATATGCTAAGTTAATTATTATTTCTGTAAATCATTTGAAGAATCGAGTTTTATCAGAAACAATACGTAAGTTTGATTTTGGTAACAAAAACTAAAAACTACAGATTAAAGAACCAGCTCAGATTTCCGTTCTAATCTTATTGTCAAATTGCCCACGTATTTATTAACTTATTAAGTAAGCCTATTTTGTAGTTTGATCTAGGCATTGTCTTTATAAATTTAGCCAACATAGATCTGAAAGTAACAGACATAAAGATTGCGTCAATTAATCCCTTCATAAAGTTGAACACAGATAAATTTAAATGTATTTTTTAAAGTAATAATTGAACAACAAAATGACCCTCACGAAAGTATTCGTGCTACTGGCCTATTGTCTTAACTTAACAGCATTATCATAGACATTAAGTTTATGATCCATATCGTGTCTGTTCGTTTAAAGCCTACCATTGGCCTGTTCCTGTTCTAAGTTAAGTTAGTACTGTATTCGTGGGTTAGACATAGCCTATAGAAGCATTACATAGTTAGTTTCTCTAAATTTTTGTCCAGACAAGGTAGTATCAGAGAGGGCCTAGGCTAGGCTTCACTGTGGACATCTAACTGATAACCTATTTAGTCTACCATGAGCATTTAATGCTTAGGGAATTAAGTTAACAGGCATGTATGCTATTGGTTAGTAGTGGATCTTAAATAACTTACGTATAACTAAAATGGCTATTTGCAAGACTAAATTAAGACTCACTTGTGAAGCCTAAATTGTATTTCTTCGACTCTCTGGTAGGTTATAAGTTAGCAAATATTTTAGTAAGTTATAGTCTAATGTAACTAGGCTACCATCTTAATACCATCTCTTCGTTTTTGACCAGGTTTACTGGATTAACTGCGTCAGTTTTCTTAATATTATATCAAATAGCAAATAAAATGTTCTTTTCATTTTCAAAAGAAAAAAAATAATATTATGTACAAATATGTCAACTCACAAACTTGGTGGTTGAAGTAGGGTTTTGAGTCAGTTACTTGCTAGATTATCCTCAAGGAAATCCTTGATGGAGAAATAGGCCGACTGAATAAGTTGGTCTTTCATTTTTCTTTCAAACTTCTTGGTCTCAAGGTTTCTCAAGTTCTCCGGCAGCTTGTTGAACAGCTTCATTGCCATGGCAGGGAAACGGCGTTGTGTGCTTATTAGGCGTGTTCTCGGTATATCTAACTTAGTAGAGCCACGTGTGGCGTGGTAGTGGACATCGCCTCTGGTTGTAAGCGCGTTCAAGTTCTTCTTGACATGTACCAATGAGGATAAGATATACATCGAGTAGACTGTGGGCACGCCTAATCTCCTAAAGATGGGTTTGCTGTGCTCACGCCGGTCACTAGAAGTGATGACTCGGATGGCCGCCTTCTGCAACCTCAGCACTGCCTTACAGCTTGGGGAGTGGCCCCAGAGCAGTATGCCGTAACTCAAATGGCTGTGGAAAAGGCCGTAGTAGATGGTCAAGAGATAGGATTCAGTCAGGCTGTTCTTCAATTTGCGAAGTAGAGATACTACCCTTGAGAGGTTTTTTGACATCTCTTCCGTATGACTCTGCCAGTTAAGCCGTGTATCAATAAAAAATCCAAGAAGTTTTACTTGAGGTACGATGTTTGCAGGCGGAGTTCTGCCCAAGGTGCAGATGAGTGTTTGGGTCTTGTTGACATTTAGCTGAAGTCTATTGGTCTTGAACCATTTCTCGGCGGAGGTCAGCTCCAAGGCCATCTTTCTCTCAATTTCCGTCACCGAGCATCCACCTAATACAAGGGTGGTATAGTCCGCATACATGAGAGCCTCGTCACCACACTTAAAGTCGTTCACCATTAGCAGGAATAGGAGAGGTCCAAGTAGCGAGCCCTGCGGGACACCGTGTTCCACCCTGCGTTCTCCCGAAAGAGCCCCATCAATTGCAACCACCTGTCTTCGATTCCTAAGGTAAGAAGAAAATGTAGCAAGCACAGTACCTTCCACTCCATAGGCTTCAAGTTTGGCAGAAGAACTTCGTGAGACACCACATCAAACGCTTTGCTCAGGTCTAGTAGGACTAGTTGGCCTGTTCACGATCCCCTTTTTTATACACAGGGACAACCCTGGCAACCTTCAGCCTATCCGGAAAACAACCCTGATCAAGACAAGAATTTATCACATGAGTCAGCGGACCTACGAAATCCTTAATCGTATTTTTGACTATGTTTACACTGATACCAAATACATCTTTGCTTGCTTTAGGGTGAAATTTAGCAACAAGTGATAATACTTCTGCCGGAGTAACGTTTTTCCACCTTGTCAAGCGGGTTTTAATTGTCACATTGGGCTTTGGATCTAATACAAAATGGCCATCTGCAGGAGTTAGCTCACTCGCAATATTACCAACCACACTTACAAAGTAGTCGTCTATTTCATCCGGGCTACTCACACAAGCAAGATCCACAGGTTTCCTACAAAGTTTGTTAGCGATACTCCAGGCTGCTTTTGCACTGGTTGGGCGACTCCCTTATGAACTTTTCATTTGCTGCCTTCTTTGCATTCTTCACCATGCGCCTGTAACACCTCTTAACACGTAAATACTCATTATAGTTTACCTGCCTTTGATCGGGCATAGTCGAATGCTTTACTCTATCATGTAAGATAATTACAAACTCCCTGAGCTTATGAAGTTGAGGTGAATAACAGTTCCTAAGTGCAGGAGGGCCGGACCGAGCCTTTACTTTAGAGTTATTGTTCACATTGGGATGACCTGAGTTTTTCCGACGGGTTTTAAAAGGAAAGCAGTTTTCAAATTCACTGTAAAATCTATCAAAGAAATTATCAAAAAGTTCATCTGCATTATGTATGGTCATTATCGGATCCCAGGAAATATTTCTTAATCTATTCAAAAAGAGCAGCTGAGAATCATCGTTAATTACTCTGTATGCAAATGTGTATTTGTCATGCCAAATAGGTTGAGGTGAGGTACTTACAGGAGTAGAAGTAATTTGCAACGTTACAGCACAGTGATCTGCCACCACCTCCACAGAAGTCACACAGTCCTCAGGGTCAAAGTTTATCGCAGCACTATCGAGACAAGCAATCCCCCTCGTGGGTTGGAAATTAGTCAGGTAGAAGCCATACGACCTTAGCAGATTAATCAGTTCAAATTCTTCAGATGATCCGGTGTTTAGGTGTACATTTAAGTCACCTCCAATGAAAATACGCTTGTGCACTTTGGTGACAAAATCCAGACACAGGTCGAGCTGTTTTAAGAAAGCATCGATGCTTCCCCCTGGGGAGCGGTAAACCACAAGAATAAAGAATGACTCGTCAACTAGTTCAATTCCAGTCACTTCGAATATTTGCTCTATACAGAATTGTTCCAATTTCAGTTTTGTACACTTAAAATTACTATTTACAAATATGGCTACTCCACCATTCTTCTTAACAGTTCTACAATAGGCTGATACCAAGACCTTATCACCCAAAGTTATATTTGTTTAAGATTCCGGGTGTGTCAACCAGTGTTCACTGACACAGATAATGTCTGGTATTTTTAATTCATCAAATAACAACAACAGATCCCAACTAGTATGATATTGTCGGTTCATGTCGATTTCTTAAAGATATTTTTTAAGTACCTATACTGATTTGCATTCTGTCCATCTTTTATGCTACATTTCCGTTATTTAACTTAAGGTCACTTCAAATTGACAACTACAATAATTTTTCATTGTTCAGTATCAACAGTCTTTGGTGAGTCGGTGGATCAGTTGGTAGCGTCCGGACTTCGGGCCTAAGGCAGCGATGTCGTGGGTCCGGATCCTGGTTACTGCCACTAAAATTTATCAGTACAGTTCACCTTCGTACTGTACCGGTTCACCCCTTGCTTTGCTAGATACGTTTCACAGCCAGATCTGTAGTCTTTGTGGATAAAAGAGGCCGCCAAGGGGCCATTCCATATCAAATCAACAAATAAAAATCAGTTTTCAACCTGACCATCTTGGATTACTTTGAAATTTGGTATGCTTATAGTTCTAACAAATACAAACAGAAAACTGGTTTTTGTTTATTTTTATCTTTTCCCGTTTATTTATAATTAATTTTTTTAAACATCCAAAATCGGCATTTTTTTTACTTGCGGGGAGAGTTAAATTATAAAAAAAAAACTTGTCTGGATGTCAATGTATGTAGTAGAGATCATCTAACTCATTTATATGTTTTACCAGGTTGGATTGCTGAGCAGCATGGGTGAAAGATTTCTACAACAGTACATCTACAGTAGATGTAACTAGTAACTAGGAGGATGGTGGTTGAACTAATTGCTACAACATTTTTCCATTCAGAAAAAAATATTGGGACCGAGCAAGGCTAAACCAAACAAATGCAAATGCAAATGTTGGTAAGTTTAATGAAATTACATCCGTACCTACATGGCTTTGCCAATTATTGGTCTCAGCCTAAATGAAAGAGTGAGTTGAAATGCATAAACTTGTTTGAATTTCGATGTAATATAGATGCAATCTTGTTTTTTACAATTGTTTGAAGGGAACGGAAAAATCAATTGTTTGATCTGGGTAACTATTACGGTATTAACCAATTAAACTAAAAATTTGAATAAAAAAAATTCAATTGCATTTTAATTATTTACAGCTTGCAGGCTAATTAAAAGTGTAATTCAAAATTGTTTTTTATTAAAAAAAAGTTTTATTTAGGCCTAATTAATTAGTTAATAATAGCTACCCATATCACTAGTGGTGATCTATTAAACTCATTGCTACATTGTTGTCTAATGTTAAACATGTAGCAAAATGAAATGAAACAGAGGATAGCTATCGCCCTCATACTAGACGAGGCTACCAGGTCAGTTGCAAGGGAAAGACTTGATCATAAAAAATGTTAAAATGTAACATGTAAATATGTAAAATGTAAAAATGTAGACGACGACGACGACGACGACGACGACGACGACGACGACGACGACGACGGTTTTTATGTCAGCTTAGTGGTTGAGTGATTATAGTACTGCTGTACTCGCCTTGTAATTAGAAGGTAGCTGGTTTGATTCTATGTTACTTTGTTTGTATTACCTGTCACTAGTTTGGTATTACTAATTTAATTAATCTTTGTCACAGGTGTACGAGGCTGCTGGGCTGGCCAATGCTGACAGTTTTATCCGACAGTTCCCTGATGGCTACAGTACCATTCTGGGGGAGAGAGGAGTTACCGTGTCTGGGGGCCAGACACAGAGGATAGCTATCGCCCGCGCTCTACTGAAAATCCCATCCATCCTCATACTAGACGAGGCTACCAGGTCAGTTGCAAGGGAATGACTTGATCGTAAAACATGTTAAAATGTAACATGTAAAAATGTAACATGTTGAAATATAAGAAGTTAAAATGTAACATGTTAAAATGTAACGTGTTAAAATGTAACATGTTAAAATGTAACGTGTTAAAATGTAACATTTTAAAATGTAACATGCTTAAATGTAACGTGTTAAAATGTAACATATTAAAATGTAACATGTAAAAATGTAACATGTAAAATTGTAACCTTTTAAAATGTAACATGCTTAAAGGTAACTTGTTAAAATGTAACATATTAAAAACGTTATGAGTACTGGTATGAGTAAAAGTTTTTATGTCAGCTTGGTGGTTGAGTGATTATAGTACTGCTGTAATCAGAAGGTAGCTGGTTTGATTCTATGTTACTTTGTTTGTATTACCTGTCACTAGTTTGGTATTACTAATTTAATTAATCTTTGTCACAGGTGTACGAGGCTGCTGGGCTGGCCAATGCTGACAGTTTTATCCGACAGTTCCCTGATGGCTACAGTACCATTCTGGGGGAGAGAGGAGTTACCGGGTCTGGGGGCCAGACACAGAGGATAGCTATCGCCCGCGCTCTACTGAAAATCCCATCCATCCTCATACTAGACGAGGCTACCAGGTCAGTTGCAAGGGAATGACTTGATCGTAAAACATGTTAAAATGTAACATGTAAAAATGTAACATGTGGAAATATAAGAAGTTAAAATGTAACATGTTAAAATGTAACGTGTTAAAATGTAACATTTTAAAATGTAACATGCTTAAATGTAACGTGTTAAAATGTAACATATTAAAATGTAACATGTAAAAATGTAACATGTAAAATTGTAACCTTTTAAAATGTAACATGCTTAAAGGTAACTTGTTAAAATGTAACATATTAAAAACGTTATGAGTACTGGTATGAGTAAAAGTTTTTATGTCAGCTTGGTGGTTGAGTGATTATAGTACTGCTGTAATCAGAAGGTAGCTGGTTTGATTCTATGTTACTTTGTTTGTATTACCTGTCACTAGTTTGGTATTACTAATTTAATTAATCTTTGTCACAGGTGTACGAGGCTGCTGGGCTGGCCAATGCTGACAGTTTTATCCGACAGTTCCCTGATGGCTACAGTACCATTCTGGGGGAGAGAGGAGTTACCGTGTCTGGGGGCCAGACACAGAGGATAGCTATCGCCCGCGCTCTACTGAAAATCCCATCCATCCTCATACTAGACGAGGCTACCAGGTCAGTTGCAAGGGAATGACTTGATCGTAAAACATGTTAAAATGTAACATGTAAAAATGTAACATGTTGAAATATAAGAAGTTAAAATGTAACATGTTAAAATGTAACGTGTTAAAATGTAACATTTTAAAATGTAACATGCTTAAATGTAACGTGTTAAAATGTAACATATTAAAATGTAACATGTAAAAATGTAACATGTAAAATTGTAACCTTTTAAAATGTAACATGCTTAAAGGTAACTTGTTAAAATGTAACATATTAAAAACGTTATGAGTACTGGTATGAGTAAAAGTTTTTATGTCAGCTTGGTGGTTGAGTGATTATAGTACTGCTGTAATCAGAAGGTAGCTGGTTTGATTCTATGTTACTTTGTTTGTATTACCTGTCACTAGTTTGGTATTACTAATTTAATTAATCTTTGTCACAGGTGTACGAGGCTGCTGGGCTGGCCAATGCTGACAGTTTTATCCGACAGTTCCCTGATGGCTACTGTACCATTCTGGGGGAGAGAGGAGTTACCATGTCTGGGGGCCAGAAACAGAGGATAGCTATCGCCCGCGCTCTACTGAAAATCCCATCCATCCTCATACTAGACGAGGCTACCAGGTCAGTTGCAAGGGAAAGACTTGATCATAAAAAATGTTAAAATGTAACATGTAAATATGTAAAATGTAAAAATGTAGACGACGACGACGACGACGACGACGACGACGACGACGACGACGACGACGACGACGACGACGACGACGACGACGACGACGACGACGACGACGACGACGACGACGACGACGACGACGACGACGACGACGACGACGACGACGACGACGACGACGACGACGACGACGACGACGACGACGACGACGACGACGACGACGACGACGACGACGACGACGACGACGACGACGACGACGACGACGACGACGACGACGACGACGACGACGACGACGACGACGACGACGACGACGACGACGACGACGACGACGACGACGACGACGACGACGACGACGACGACGACGACGACGACGACGACGACGACGACGACGACGACGACGACGACGACGACGACGACGACGACGACGACGACGACGACGACGACGACGACGACGACGACGACGACGACGACGACGACGACGACGACGACGACGACGACGACGACGACGACGACGACGACGACGACGACGACGACGACGACGACGACGACGACGACGACGACGACGACGACGACGACGACGACGACGACGACGACGACGACGACGACGACGACGACGACGACGACGACGACGACGACGACGACGACGACGACGACGACGACGACGACGACGACGACGACGACGACGACGACGACGACGACGACGACGACGACGACGACGACGACGACGACGACGACGACGACGACGACGACGACGACGACGACGACGACGACGACGACGACGACGACGACGACGACGACGACGACGACGACGACGACGACGACGACGACGACGACGACGACGACGACGACGACGACGACGACGACGACGACGACGACGACGACGACGACGACGACGACGACGACGACGACGACGACGACGACGACGACGACGACGACGACGACGACGACGACGACGACGACGACGACGACGACGACGACGACGACGACGACGACGACGACGACGACGACGACGACGACGACGACGACGACGACGACGACGACGACGACGACGACGACGACGACGACGACGACGACGACGACGACGACGACGACGACGACGACGACGACGACGACGACGACGACGACGACGACGACGACGACGACGACGACGACGACGACGACGACGACGACGACGACGACGACGACGACGACGACGACGACGACGACGACGACGACGACGACGACGACGACGACGACGACGACGACGGTTTTTATGTCAGCTTGGTGGTTGAGTGATTATAGTACTGCTGTACTTGCCTTGTAATTAGAAGGTAGCTGGTTTGATTCTATGTTACTTTGTTTGTATTACCTGTCACTAGTTTGGTATTACTAATTTAATTAATCTTTGTCACAGGTGTACGAGGCTGCTGGGCTGGCCAATGCTGACAGTTTTATCCGACAGTTCCCTGATGGCTACAGTACCATTCTGGGGGAGAGAGGAGTTACCGTGTCTGGGGGCCAGACACAGAGGATAGCTATCGCCCGCGCTTTACTGAAAATCCCATCCATCCTCATACTAGACGAGGCTACCAGGTCAGTTGCAAGGGAATGACTTGATCGTAAAACATGTTAAAATGTAACATGTAAAAATGTAACATGTTGAAATATAAGAAGTTAAAATGTAACATGTTAAAATGTAACGTGTTAAAATGTAACATGTTAAAATGTAACGTGTTAAAATGTAACATTTTAAAATGTAACATGCTTAAATGTAACGTGTTAAAATGTAACATATTAAAATGTAACATGTAAAAATGTAACATGTAAAATTGTAACCTTTTAAAATGTAACATGCTTAAAGGTAACTTGTTAAAATGTAACATATTAAAAACGTTATGAGTACTGGTATGAGTAAAAGTTTTTATGTCAGCTTGGTGGTTGAGTGATTATAGTACTGCTGTAATCAGAAGGTAGCTGGTTTGATTCTATGTTACTTTGTTTGTATTACCTGTCACTAGTTTGGTATTACTAATTTAATTAATCTTTGTCACAGGTGTACGAGGCTGCTGGGCTGGCCAATGCTGACAGTTTTATCCGACAGTTCCCTGATGGCTACAGTACCATTCTGGGGGAGAGAGGAGTTACCGGGTCTGGGGGCCAGACACAGAGGATAGCTATCGCCCGCGCTCTACTGAAAATCCCATCCATCCTCATACTAGACGAGGCTACCAGGTCAGTTGCAAGGGAATGACTTGATCGTAAAACATGTTAAAATGTAACATGTAAAAATGTAACATGTGGAAATATAAGAAGTTAAAATGTAACATGTTAAAATGTAACGTGTTAAAATGTAACATTTTAAAATGTAACATGCTTAAATGTAACGTGTTAAAATGTAACATATTAAAATGTAACATGTAAAAATGTAACATGTAAAATTGTAACCTTTTAAAATGTAACATGCTTAAAGGTAACTTGTTAAAATGTAACATATTAAAAACGTTATGAGTACTGGTATGAGTAAAAGTTTTTATGTCAGCTTGGTGGTTGAGTGATTATAGTACTGCTGTAATCAGAAGGTAGCTGGTTTGATTCTATGTTACTTTGTTTGTATTACCTGTCACTAGTTTGGTATTACTAATTTAATTAATCTTTGTCACAGGTGTACGAGGCTGCTGGGCTGGCCAATGCTGACAGTTTTATCCGACAGTTCCCTGATGGCTACAGTACCATTCTGGGGGAGAGAGGAGTTACCGTGTCTGGGGGCCAGACACAGAGGATAGCTATCGCCCGCGCTCTACTGAAAATCCCATCCATCCTCATACTAGACGAGGCTACCAGGTCAGTTGCAAGGGAATGACTTGATCGTAAAACATGTTAAAATGTAACATGTAAAAATGTAACATGTTGAAATATAAGAAGTTAAAATGTAACATGTTAAAATGTAACGTGTTAAAATGTAACATTTTAAAATGTAACATGCTTAAATGTAACGTGTTAAAATGTAACATATTAAAATGTAACATGTAAAAATGTAACATGTAAAATTGTAACCTTTTAAAATGTAACATGCTTAAAGGTAACTTGTTAAAATGTAACATATTAAAAACGTTATGAGTACTGGTATGAGTAAAAGTTTTTATGTCAGCTTGGTGGTTGAGTGATTATAGTACTGCTGTAATCAGAAGGTAGCTGGTTTGATTCTATGTTACTTTGTTTGTATTACCTGTCACTAGTTTGGTATTACTAATTTAATTAATCTTTGTCACAGGTGTACGAGGCTGCTGGGCTGGCCAATGCTGACAGTTTTATCCGACAGTTCCCTGATGGCTACTGTACCATTCTGGGGGAGAGAGGAGTTACCATGTCTGGGGGCCAGAAACAGAGGATAGCTATCGCCCGCGCTCTACTGAAAATCCCATCCATCCTCATACTAGACGAGGCTACCAGGTCAGTTGCAAGGGAAAGACTTGATCATAAAAAATGTTAAAATGTAACATGTAAATATGTAAAATGTAAAAATGTAGACGACGACGACGACGACGACGACGACGACGACGACGACGACGACGACGACGACGACGACGACGACGACGACGACGACGACGACGACGACGACGACGACGACGACGACGACGACGACGACGACGACGACGACGACGACGACGACGACGACGACGACGACGACGACGACGACGACGACGACGACGACGACGACGACGACGACGACGACGACGACGACGACGACGACGACGACGACGACGACGACGACGACGACGACGACGACGACGACGACGACGACGACGACGACGACGACGACGACGACGACGACGACGACGACGACGACGACGACGACGACGACGACGACGACGACGACGACGACGACGACGACGACGACGACGACGACGACGACGACGACGACGACGACGACGACGACGACGACGACGACGACGACGACGACGACGACGACGACGACGACGACGACGACGACGACGACGACGACGACGACGACGACGACGACGACGACGACGACGACGACGACGACGACGACGACGACGACGACGACGACGACGACGACGACGACGACGACGACGACGACGACGACGACGACGACGACGACGACGACGACGACGACGACGACGACGACGACGACGACGACGACGACGACGACGACGACGACGACGACGACGACGACGACGACGACGACGACGACGACGACGACGACGACGACGACGACGACGACGACGACGACGACGACGACGACGACGACGACGACGACGACGGTTTTTATGTCAGCTTGGTGGTTGAGTGATTATAGTACTGCTGTACTTGCCTTGTAATTAGAAGGTAGCTGGTTTGATTCTATGTTACTTTGTTTGTATTACCTGTCACTAGTTTGGTATTACTAATTTAATTAATCTTTGTCACAGGTGTACAAGGCTGCTGGGCTGGCCAATGCTGACAGTTTTATCCGACAGTTCCCTGATGGCTACAGTACCATTCTGGGGGAGAGAGGAGTTACCGTGTCTGGGGGCCAGACACAGAGGATAGCTATCGCCCGCGCTCTACTGAAAATCCCATCCATCCTCATACTAGACGAGGCTACCAGGTCAGTTGCAAGGGAATGACTTGATCGTAAAACATGTTAAAATGTAACATGTAAAAATGTAACATGTTGAAATATAAGAAGTTAAAATGTAACATGTTAAAATGTAACGTGTTAAAATGTAACATTTTAAAATGTAACATGCTTAAATGTAACGTGTTAAAATGTAACATATTAAAATGTAACATGTAAAAATGTAACATGTAAAATTGTAACCTTTTAAAATGTAACATGCTTAAAGGTAACTTGTTA